GTTTCCTTGTTGGTCTGTCTTAAAGATTTATCCATTGATGTCAGTAAGCTGTTAAAATCCCCTCCTATGACTGTATTACTGTCAGTCTCTCCTTTAATGTCCATCAAAATTTGCTTTACGTGTGTAGATGCTTTTATGTTGGGCGCATTAATCTTTACAAGGGTTATATCCTGTTGTTGGATTGCTTCCTTTGTCATTATGTAATTTACTTCTTTGTCTCTTACTATAGCCTTTGTTGTAATGTCTATTTTGTCATATGTAAGTATTGCTAGTGTGGAAGACTTTTTAAAGCATGGTAAAAGACAGGTATGATAAAAAGGAAATATTGACAACAGAAATATCAGAAATTTCTGCATGATAAAGAATTTTTTGTTAAAGTTAAAAGGAAACTGACAAACTAGAAAACACATATCAATAATGCCTGAGTTATTAAATATATGAAAGCTCCTACATACAATTTTTTCTAAGATAAATTATCCAAAAGAAAAAAATGTGCAAAAGTCTCTAGAAAAAGTCATCCAAATGTTCCTACATGCATGAATAAAAATGTATAATCTCAAAGTCAGAAAAATGCTAATTAAAATACAGTGAAATACCATTTCACCATTTTGTTCTTGGAATGCTATTTTTTCTTATGTTTAGCTCAACAAGTAAATAATTTCAGAATGGAATCTAGTGTGGATTGTGTACCATAAATTCACAAGTACTATTTTATGTTTTATGTTTGGCATTGCATCCGTAATATGACTGGATGGGATATAGGGTAAACTTTAGGCACCAGCATTTAGGGGCAAAACAGAGTCTCACATGATGCCAAGTGCAGGATTTTGTATGAGCGTTTGTATGTGTGTATGACTTTAGCAGAGTACTTTTCTTCTTATGCTCATATTCAGGCATGAAGGTATAAATTATTAGAGTTCAAATGTGATTATGTATTTTCTTTTTAAGATTTGGGATAACAAACAAGGAGTTACATTGTAGGATGGCAGTAGCTGGGAGAATTTGGAAGGTAGGTGGTTTGAAACCATAGGTGGAGGGAGTGCGCAAGAATGAAGGGGAAAATTGAGCTGTAGACACTAATGGTTATCTGCCTGTCCTTCCTTCTCAAAAATGCCCTGATGCTCAGTGACTGTGGGTGGAGATTAAACCTCACTACCATTACAAAGCAGTTCTCCTTCCTTTTCAGGGCAGAGCTTGATCCCTCAGCAGCCCCATAATGAAGCCTGGTAACTTAGGTGTACTACATGTTACTGGGGAGACAAAACAGGACATATCTTTATATTTCCTAGTCCCAGAAATTTCAGCTTTTTAAATTGTTTAGGTGGACAATTTGGAATGCTTCTAATTTTGGTAGATAGACTAACTACATTTAGAATGTGGATTTCCAGTGTCATTTTGCAACACCATTTTTAGAATTAGAGCTTTCACAGAAGGAAAATCCTCTTTACCTTGTTTCTCTGATTTACTGTGATGGAAATGTCTCTTGATGTTACTAGGTGTTCTGAGAAACACTTCAACATATAAATTTCAGTGCAGTGCATATTTTAGAATATATGCATGGTTCTTCCTCTTTCTTCTATCATTTTTCCCAGCTGAATTTTATTTTCTTCTCCCCAAAACAACCAACAGTGCTCTTATTTCTCCTTCCTCCTCTCTCTCTCTCTCTCTCTCTCTCTCTCTCTCTGCTCAAGCAAGATTCCAGCAGAAGTTGCAGATATGACACTTGAAAAAAAAACAGTTGAAGTGTTGTAAAATTTCAACCTATCCTTGTGAAAATTAAATGTGCTAATACATAGTATTGTACTTGGCACTATGACAGGCATGAGGAAGTTCTGTGTTGATTACTACTATCTGGAGAGATACTATTATTTTTTCCATTTTAGAGCCAGTAAGTGTTGGAGCCAGTGCTTAAACCACATCTTTCATATAATGAATCTATTGTACCTACCCTACTATCCAGGATATAGAACTGCTGAAATGTGTAACAAGATAAAGTTAGGTTCTCTGCCATGCGACTTTATTATATAGTATTGTACAACAAGAACGAAAGATAATAAAGCTGAGGGAAAATGTCCTTGATAATGTTTTTCTCAAAGGATCATTATCATCATATAATCTAATTGATTTTGAAAGCTTTATTCTGGGCTCTATCTGGACATTTAATAGGATGGCGAAGACTTCTGAGTGTTCCCTTACTTATATGTAAGAAATAAACCAGGAACTGTTTGTGAATTGTTTCTTGTATAATCAAGGGAACAGGGTTGAAAAAGATCTAGCATTCATTTGGGCAGGAATGTGACTAACCTATTGATTTCTGGCAGGAATGTGACTAACCTATTGATTTCTGGCAGAAATGTAACTAACCTATTCCCCAGTTGGTATATTAACTCAATATCTGAAATTTGCAAGGGAAGACATTACACAACTTTCATTTGCAGTAACTCACATTAGTGTTTCATAACTCTGGCTGTTGAAAATGTTCAATTCCCTTAAGAATATAGGCTTCCAAAAACAGCATGTATCATTAGCCTTATTAAGGCAAATAGGGGTTAAATTCAATAAATTAGCCTACAGAATAGAGATCTTATTAATCTTCAAATCCTACAGATAATGCCTAGTACAGAACATTACAAATAGTAGATGTCAAATATATATTTATTAAATTGAATGGAACTGAAAAGCAGGGGAAGGTTGTTGGGGTATCAAAACACATTATGGACCAGAGCAGCAATTTTCAACTGGTGTGCTGCAAGAATTTTTAAAACATGCAATGCCTGACTATTTAGTCAGGGGCACTGACCTCTTTTCTCTTAAATTGTCAGGTAAAAAAAAAAAATGACAACAGCCAAAACAACAGTAGCTGTCTGATGTGAATGAATAAAATTGTACCTAATTTTTTGTCAGATCAGCAAAATATATTTTTTGTTGTGTTGCAGAATTTTAGTAATTAGTTTATGTGTGCCATGGGATAAAAAAGGTTGAAAATTGCTGGACTAGAGGCTTCATTACTGTCTTACTTTCTCATTTCCTAAAATCAACACTTAGATTATGTTTTAAAAAAATTTACATGAAACAAGAAAAATGCTGACTTTCTATGAAGTTCATTAAAGTGTTCACTCAGCAAATATTTATTGAACACCATGTGTTAGGCACTGTCCCAGGTTCTGAATATTTTAGTGGAATGCTATTCTTTAAATAATAGTGTGTAATACTAAGAACCCCAAATGATTCAAAACTAAAAGTCCCTGATGTGAGAGCTTAATGAGCTGTTGCTCAGGGTTTACTATGAGCACTTCACTAAATGTAGTTTTTTTTAAAAATATCAATAATCACATAATGTCAATTCTCTTAACACAACCATTAATGAACCTGTGTTTCCCCATCCAAAACTGGAAAGTTACAGAGTAATAGTGAGTTAAGAAATGCAGTATGCTTGTTAGAAGAATATACTAGGAATTCAGAAACTAACCTTTGAATGGTGTCACTTCTGTGAAGTCACTGAACTCTGCAGAGTTAGTTTCCCTACCTATAAAGTAAAATAAATTAGAAAAATGCTAAAGCCTCTTTTAAGTCTGATATTCTGTAATCTTTAATTAATTAAGATCTAATTAATTCTAAATTCTAGGAGGAAGAGAACTCTGCCTTACCAGTAAGGCTCAATTCCTGTCAGTGATGCAAAGATTTCCCTTTTCTATGTTGTGACATCACTATCTCGACTATATACATACACATAAATACGTATGTATAATTACTATTTTTAAGGTGGTCACCAAAAGTACAGTCTTACAAGAGATTCAACCTTCTAGTTTTTGCCAGGTATACTCGATTTAGCTACAGTGTGAACTTCACTTCCTTTTGTACATTTTCTTTACAGATGGCAGAGCAGTTGAAAAAGGATGGAGTTGGGAGTGGGGTAGCTAATGCATAGTTATATTATGACCAAAACTTAATTTTTATTTTTAAAGTTAAAAAGTTTCAAACTTCAAGGAGGAATTTAGTTTGTTATAGCTGGATTTTAGATAGTTCATCCAGCTAACGTTGGATATGAAGAAAGGGAGCAAACAATGGGAAGAAAGTTTAAGTCCTAGGGGGAAGAAATAACGGAAACTATTTTCCTTTCTTTTTCTCTTTCTTCTCTTTCTTTCTTTCCTCCATCTCTTTTCTTTCCTTCCATCCCCCCTTCCTTTCTTTTTAACAATTTAGATAAAAAGAATACTGCAATGAAAAAAAAAAAGCTAGATCAGGGAATGGAGCTGAATAGGACACTTGCCAACCCTGTGTCAAGAACTATTTCGGAACATGAAACCACGGGAGCCCCAAGTTCTTGCGGGAAGGACTGGATGAATGAAAAAGAGTTTTATTTCTGCTTCAGTAGCTTTAAAATATATTCTGCAGGTAATACCCTATCTAAGTCACCTGACTCAGAAAATAAGACCCCTCACATTAATAAATCTAAAATATTAAGATACGTCTTTCAAATAAAGATGCAAACATCTGTATCAAAAGTATTTCATTCGAAGCCAAAGATCTGAACTAACACAGAATCTATTTCACAAAGTGTAGTGCCCCTTGCTCTCTGGGTCGTCACCACGCAGGACTGGGCTTCAGCACCATTGCGGACTCACCGCGCCCAGTGTGGCCCGGCCGACCGGCGGCTCTAGCTCTCACCGGGAGCGCGTCTGGGGTCTGGGGGCGGGGAGGGTATGGAGGTGGTTCCCTTGGCGCACCCAATCGGCAGCGAGGCTTGGTGGTGGCGCTAGTGACGTCGGCTGCGCTTCCCTCCGCCCCACTGCGGGAAGACTCTAGGCTGTGTCAGGCTCGCGATCTCTGAGCAAGGAGAGGGGGAGTAGGAGGACTCCGGGACCGACTAAGTGCCGGAGGGCGGCGGGTCGCGGAAAGGGGGAGAGAGAGCATGCGCAGCGGCTCGGGTGCGGGAAGGGAGGAGGGGATCCGTGCGCGCGCGCAGGAGCGGCCCGCCGGCGGCCGCGGGTGGAGGGGGCGGTTCCTCGAGTGTTGGCTGCCGGAGGGTGGGCAGGCTGGCGGCAGGTGCCGCCGAGGCCACCGCCGCAGCCTGCTCCGGGTCCCGGGTCTCCTAGTCCTCCGGTGGTGATGAGCTGGACTCCGTCGGGGGCTGCACCTGCTGGCTGCCCATCACTCCGAGCCTCCCGGCGTGACCTCGGCCTCCTATCGTGCCCGATCCCCGCGGCGTGGTGCTGCCCCTGAGAGGGAGCGGCAGCGGCCTCCTCCGCCCCGAGTCCTCGCTTGGGGGCCGCGCAGGAAGAGCGCCCGGCTCCCTCCCCTCCCCCGTCCGCTGTCCTCAATGTCTCCCCGGCGGGGAGGGGGCTGCCTGGGAGACGCGCTGAACGGCACCCCCCGGAGGCCCGTCGGCCGTAGCAGCAGCGCCCAGCCCGTCGCCCCGCAGCCTTACCCCGCGGCGGCGGCGGCCTGGAGGAGCCGCGCACCCGCCGCCGCTCCCGGAGCCTCGCAGCCGCCGCCGCCACCCGGCGCCCGAGGAGAAGGCGGCGGGCGTCCCCCCGGGAAGATGAAGGCGGAGGGGGGTGACCACTCCATGATCAACCTGTCGGTGCAGCAGGTCCTGAGCCTTTGGGCCCACGGGACGGTGCTGAGGAACCTCACGGGTAATTGATGCGCCCAGGGTGGGGACAGGGATGTGGTGCCACCTCTTGCCCTCTGGAGCAAAGGAAGCGATACTTGCCGCCCAACCCCTGTGTGCGCCCTCTTGGGAGTTTGCGGTCCCAGATACTGGCGAGGAAGGCGTTAATTGGATCTACTCTGCTTGGGTTCCGGGGGTGCCGATGCCCGCCACCCGTTCTCAGGCACTCAGAACCTTCCGAATCCTAGGGTGGGTAGGGGGGAAGGATGATATCTACGACCCCCGCCATCTCCCTGGCAAGCGGAGGTCCCCGTGGCCCTGCCTTCTGTAGTAAGCGCGAAACAGCATTGATGCTGAGACACAGCTTTTATTTATCTCCGTCTTCCCCACGCGCGCACACAGTCATCCCCCACCCCCCGCCCCATTTTTGCTGTTTAGATCTTTCGTTTGTTTAGCTCTTTTTCTTTCTGGCAGATCTCAAACTGAACGCAGAACTTAAGTTTCCTGCTCACGATCAATTTGCTTCAACTGTTCATTTTATTTTGGGGGAACTATAGATGACAAGTAGGTTATTGTGGGTCAGGGGCTGGGCCAAGGTCTAGTGGATTCTAAGCATGTTAGTTCTAACTGTATATCTCCTTCTGTTCCTATTTCCTTTTGTCTGTCTGTGTCTCTCCCTTTGGCCTCAAGCTGCTGCTTCTGTGACATTTGATAATTTCCTGTATTTCCCTTCATTTGTCGAGGCTCTCAGGAAGGAATTGGACTTAACTGCATTATTGTACTTAACAGCAACTTCACGTTGTAAAAGTGAACAATAATAGTCCAGTTTTTATCAAATTTTTAGGTTTGCTTTGTGAAGAAACTTCTGGCTGTGTTAATGTGGAAATGCTTATACCCTTATACACTCAGTTCTGAATGTAAAAAACACCCTACAAAGATTAGTATTTATAAGAAAAAGATTTGCTTGCAATTTGGTGACTCCTCAGTTTCTGAACCTGAGAGAAAAATCTTAAAACCATACTCAGGATTTGATTCTTGAAAATCTATAAGACAGGTAATTTTGGTAGAATATTAGTATTTCAAAATGCATTATGTCAAACTAATTGAGAGTATACTACAGATAAAACCTGTCTTGATAGGATACATATGTCTGTAAGGACGACTTAGAGACACTTGTTTCCTTGAATGTGGAAACTATAAAATTAACATAGATTCTGGGTTGATTCATAGTGTCCTTACTTTTAAGATGTGGTTATTTAACTTGAAGCAGTCAGACTTTACGTGATGGTTTAAGGTCAGGAACATGTTCTGAGTTCTGAAAAACTACATTAACATAGAGACCATTTCATGTTTCAGTTGAATTTAGGGATAGAATGCTTTGTCTTATGGCTTTGCTCACATTTGTTCACTGTTAATATTTCAAATGTGTCAGTTATGTGTATTTGAATGAAATGAAAATAAGGTCTTAAGAATACCTAGGTATTTGTATATGTTAATGACTGGCTTAGGTAATCGATGAGTATTTAGAAAAAAGTTAGCTTTGGGAGACAAAGAAAATGTAAATGTAACTTACCTCTTGGCTAGATTTTACAACATTTTAAAATTTAAGATTCTAATCACTATCTAGTGGCTTCTAGTTCTACAAGTCAACCATTAGGTTGGTAATAGTAGTTTCAGCCCAGAATTAGCTCTTATTATCTCCTAATACAACCTTAAGAACTGTCAGTTGCTCATTGGACTTTGCCATTTCATAGAGGATATGCAAGACATCCCAAACTAGAGCTAAGGAGCAAATAAAACCTCTTCTAGGAAATAAATAGAGTGTTAGTATGCAAAATTCTATTTGTCATAGTAAAAATAGAGAAGGAAATAGATTAGGAATATATTTCACCAGCAGGTGAGTGTACCACGTTAGGAACCACATCACTTCTTAAAAAAAAGGACTTCGAAAGTGGTAACATTCTGATGTGGTTCATTGTGGCCTTCTCCATACTGGTGACATATATAGCTAAATCATTAGTCAAGATATGCTACTACCATGCCATTAGAACTTGGTCTATTAAGAAAACAACTAAAACGTAATTCCTGCCATCTATCAGTTACTTTACATATATTATTTCTAATCTTCAGAATAACTCTCCTAAGTAGTTTTACAGAGAAGCCCGGAGAGGTAAATTAAGTTGCCTCAAATCATATAGCTAGTGAATGGCTGAGCTAGGCTTTCAAAAACAGTCTTTGCCTGCAGAACTACTTCTTCCTCTTTTCCAGGATGCCTTAGCTACTTCTTCTTTACCCTCTTCACACAATGAAATTACTTGCTTCATCCTGCTACTTCTGCTCCTTGTATATGCTTTTTAATTATAATTTTCAATTACATTGTAATTTTTACTTGTCTCTTCCAGACTGTGAGATTTTTGGGAGTGGAGTTAATGTCTTAATCACTGAATTCTGGAACCCTGGCATTATAGTTCCTGACACATAGTAAATGCTCAATACATCTTAACAAATTTTTAAAATAATACTTAACAGTTGCATGATTTAAACATTGTAGTTGCATTATTTTTCAGCTGCGTCTTTTGGAGTGAATATGCTGTTAACTAGGGAGTAAGCTGTTTCAGTAACTTTTGTAGATAATTGTCATACATTTAAAACACGCAAATGCTTATTGAATGTGCTTTTTGTGCCAGTTAACCATACTTTCATGTCTTTTATTTAATCTTTTCAACAATCTTGAGAGAGATTATTTATCCTTATTTTACACATTTGGACTTGAAGCAAAGAGTCACTTGCTTGCATCTGATAGCTAGTAAGTTAAAAAGTGTTACCTTTTTTAAAAATTATGATAACATATTCTTAAGTCAGAAGCCATTTTTTGTCTTCATAATAAACTTGTAAGAGAAACAAGTAATAGAAAGGAACATAGCATAGAACCAGTCTGATATGGATTAAAAAAGTGACAAATTTATAGAAATCTTGTTAATAGGAATTCTGGTTAATTAAAAGGGGAATATAATCTCATCTCTATTTTCTTTATACAAACTAATGGGTGTGTTTTTTTCTTCTCTTTGTATCTTATCTCATAGGAGAAGCAGGAAAATTTTTATATTGACCTTTTTATCTTAGAAATCGAACTTTAGAAAGCAGTCTTGAGTATGTATTATTTTGATAGAAATAAGACACCTAAGCACTAGTAGAGCCACGTTACGGAAAACAAACGAACTTATTGGCCAACCCAATAATTTCTGTCCAGCTAATAAAAGATAATAGAAAATGCAAGAATTATTGAATAATAATGTTTTCTAAATTTTTAAGTTGCTTTTGCCTGTGTAAAAGTTAGTGATCCATATTTATTATATATCCCATTTTAGAAATCTTACGAAGTTCAGGCAGCTATCTATTTTTTCTCCCTCATGGAAGACACTAGAATGGGGACTCTGTATAGAGCAGATTAATGTCTGGCGACCCCATCTCTGTCACCATTGACAAAGTTCCCTTCTGTACCCATCACTTCCCAAAGTGTGTGATTCATAGGATTCCTAAATTGTTAACTGTGTCAGATGTGTCTTTATCTTGCTAGAGAGATAAATGGCTTTCTTTCTCAAATAATTTTTCTTTCTCTGAATTGTTCTAAATACCCTGCCCCCCAATCTAAAATTAGAGTCTAAATACTCTCTCTCTCTCTCTCTCTCTCTCTCTCTCTCAGTTTAATGGGTTACTTGATTTCTTTTTTTTTTTAAATAGTCTACAGCAAAATGTATTTTTTTGCTTTACCTTTCCTTTGCTCTACCTTTATTTTCCCAACTTTGTGTTCTGACCCACACTTGGTTTAGAGAAGAATTTTTTACTTAGAAATAGGCAGGATCCTTAAACCCCTGGATAAACACAGGTCCAGGCTGGTGTCAGGAAAGGGATAATTGATCCTTGGAAAAAAAGAAGCTGACTTTAGATTCATCTCCTCTCTCAGTGACAGCAGCAAATGTGGGGGCAGGTGCTCCCCTTTTTATCAGTAGTAAGCATTAGGAGGCTGGGAATTGTAACTGGAAGGAAGGACAGTCCTCTCTGTGTATGTGTATGTATTTATGTTTACAATATGAATACATACACTATTACATAGTTCCCTGTTAGATTTATAGTAACTAATCCACTTTAGTGTTAATATTGTCAGCCAAAAAGGAGAAAGGGGAAAAATGGTTGGTTATCTACTATACGTATTTGGAATTGTTTACACCTCTTGCTAGTAGAGCCAGCACCTTCCTTTAGTAATGCTCCCAAGCAGGTTTGCTTCTCTCTGTGTTGCTCTGTGTCCTTGTTCAGTTACGTTACATTAAATTCCTCTTCCTAAGTGCTTTATTATTGGAGGTGAGTTTAAGTAGATAAAATTATTTCAAATGCCCATTTATAGGTATTATGTCTTGTAAGTATAGCCTTAAAGACAAGTACTACTTTTCAGTACTGTACTGGACCCCAGCCTTTACTGTTTCTGAAATACGTGTGAAAAAGTCCCTTATTTTGTAGTACAGAGCCAGTTAATAAGTCCTGGTTGATTTGTACTTTATAGAAGTTTGCTTTCTGGAAGGCTATATATCTTATTGAGAATGAAGCTACTGTAATTTTTCAAAAATTAGAATTTTAATTTTCAGATTTTCAAAGTTTTCATTTTTTTTAATCTTTGAATCATACGTCCATATCTTTCTGCAATACCAAGCATAAGACCCAGATGACATGTTTTAAATCTAAGTCAATTTCTGAAGAAGTCTTAGGACTGTGTAAGCTATGATTTTGACATTTCAATAGTTAATTAATGGTTAACAATCAAAATAAATTTATCTTTGTTGAGGTGTGGTAGGTTAATTATGTATTTTTAATGACTAAATACTTTAACAATGAAAATTATAGAGTCAAGAGTGGCAGTAGCAACACATTTGAGAGTTCTCATTAAACTATCAAATTCCAGTGACCTTAGCTAAGTAGATGAAGCTTTGAAATAGAGATTTTTCACCAAATTTCATGCAAGTAGGAAGAACC